TATATGAAGTCAGCCCTGGGGAGGGCACAGCATCTTGGTGCTGCACAGACAACACACACACTTATTCCCGAGGGGTCCATGCAGGCAGTCCCCTCTCTCTTCTCTGCTGTGGTGGGCGGTGGGGGGGAGGCGGTGCGGGGAATGTGGAGGAAGGACTGAGCTCGGGGAAACAAAGCTCCCTGCAAAACTGCTAACAGACCATTTAGCATAGTGCTTGGAGCCATAGTGAAACTCTCCCAAAGTGGGGTGCGCGGAAGTGCTCCCTGTAGCCTCTGGGCCTCCTGGGGTGAGTGTGGGGGCACTTCGTCATCATGTGTGCCCAGTGGGTCTCTCTGGGATGGACCACTCCAGACCCACCCCCGTGTCAGCAGACCCACTGTCAGGATAAGTCTTTTTATTTTTCCTCCAGTGGAGGTACTGGGGATTGAACCCAGAACCTCACGCAAACTAAGCATGCGCTCTACCACTGAGCTCTAGCCATGCCCCCCAAGACCCACTGTCAGAATCAAGCTCTGGACCATTGGGACCGGTGATGTCTGAATCAAGGATGAAGCTGTATGCCCCCACCACCCTGGAGCCCCACACTGAACAGGGCCAGTTCCAGCAGAAAAGAGAGTTTATAGTTAGGACAGCGGGGGAAGTGATGCCCAGAGGACTCCGGAGAATCACAACTTTAAAGCTTTTTGGAAGGCCCCAGCCACCGCGGAGCCCTTTCCCCGACGTGTCCGCCCAGGTGACAGCAGACCCAAACTCTGGACAGAGGCAACGTCACTGAGGTCAAGGTCTGACTCTGCAGGGTCGGCTTAGCCATGACACACGTTTCTTTCTTAGTTATTAGAAGCATTGGAAGAAAGAAAAAGAAAAAAAACACTCAAGGAACTTAATTTGTCAAGTCCACCACAACGAGGAAGAATGAGTCACGTCGTAAAGAAAGAAACCCTCCCAAATGCACGAAGTCTTTAGCATTTACTCCACGTCTCTCAGGGAACACGAAAGACTCACACAGAACTTACACACTTGGTTTTGGCAAAGTCTTTTTTTTTTCTTGCACAAATGTCCCACCACTGATGGGTACAGCCCTTTTGTCTTAATGAATGTGAACTATATTTTGATAGGTTAAATTGATTTCTGCAAAGTAGAATAGTTTGCAAAATAAGCTTGTGGACGCCACGGGAGGGGTGGGAGCCACAGAGCCACCACCCAGAGACTGGTGGGAGCTTTGCCTGGAGGATTAGATACCCCAGGGTGTGCCCCCAGAGGAATGGAGTCTTGCTATCTTGAATAATAAATTCCTGACCATCGGCTGCCAGAATTAATGAACCAAATCGCTTTGGAAAACATTACATTTGTAAAGGAACAGATCCCAACTTTTCAGAACTCCACCTGAGCTTCTGGGTGGTAATCGGTAAGAAACGGTCCACAGTTAACTTAGTGAATATAAAGTATTCATTCAAGAGGAAAGGTGCAGTACCAAAATCCAGGAACAGAAACATTGAGCCTCCCATGGAAAGAGAAGAGACAGTTACACAGTCCCACTTTCAGAGAGGATTTGAACAGACAGCAGAAAGCATTTAATCCCCAGTGGAGCCACTTCCCACCTACAGTGAGCCCTCCAAGGGGACTGCCCTGTGACAACAGACGGGTGCAAAATATTGCTCTGTGGCATATTCTGAAAAGAATAGAAAAATAATTTCTATAGTACAGTTTTAAACTTGGCTTGTAAAATATCAACAGAACATAGCATAAAATCTACAAACGGAATACACTTAAAAACACCTTCCTTTAACAATATACTATTTAAAAAAAATCATAGGCCCAGGTAACACATATGCAGTAAGTGTGAAGTAAATTACTGAAATAAACTCCCCTGGGGTTTAGAAGTAGCTGGGATCCTTCCGGAAACTTGCTGCCACTTCAAGCCATCTGACCTTCCCAGAATGGGAAGTTTGGCCAGACCTCAGCTCACAGAGAGGGTCAGCACCCTGGTGTCCAGGACCTGAGCCCTGGTGGGGCTCCAGCCTTTCTGGAATCAGGACTGGCCACCTTTTCTCCAGCTCCCCAAATCTTCCTTCCTTTTCCCTGCTCCCCAAAGGGCCTCCAAGTCATAGAAAGACGTTAGGAGACCTCTTGACCCACATGTGAAAAACACATTAGTTTCTAATAGTTTCCGTCCAGCCTGATGAACTAATTGGGTCCAGGAGCTGTGTGGCCAGGAACCAGGGCTGAACGGAGTGCCGTTGGCGCCCTGGACTAGGAAATGTAATGGAGTGGTAGGCTCTCATGGTTTTAATACTGTTTAGAGGAAGGACGGACCCAGACTGCTCACAAGAGGAAATGGCTGTCTGTAAATAATGTGCACGGGAGGCCATCACGTCAGCTGGGGGCAGCCTCCATAGGTGGCCCAGCACATGGAGTCACCTGTGATGCTGAGAAATTGGGGCCTTCCACGTGGCGGGAGAAGCTTGGTGTGGGCCCCCGGAGGCAGGATCTCAGGCTCCTTTTCATGGCACATTAAGTCAGATAGGGGTGGGACGGAGATGACTGAAATTCAAGGAGCTAGAACAGCTTTTTGATAATACCTATGAATGACACTGCTTGGTTTTCAAGGCTTTCCTTTTTTCTCCTGGTACTACAAATGGACCATTTTTATTCTCAGTTTGCCTTTTCTTCCCTCCTTCCTTCCTTCCTTCCACCTGGCAGAGAGCATGAGAAAGAGAAAATATTCACACAGCCAGTGTTGGAAATTTCCAGTTGGCTGTTTTAATGTGAAACAATTCAGAAACAGACAAGCGTTTACTTTCTGCCTCCTTGACTTCTGGTGTGTGTGAGTGTGGCTTCTGAATGGGCAGGGAAGCATTTTCCAGGCTGGCCGTTTTCACCTTCTAAGAGTGAGGAGCAGAGCAGAAGCTGGTGTCTACAGGTGAAGCCGTATTTCCTGTGACCTTCCAGCTTTGGACGGCAAAGCTTTTGCTCAGCATGACATGAACAATTGGTCCAAGAAGCTGCCACAAAACCTCTCCATGAGAAATTGTTTAAAAAACAACTTTCTTTGTTTTAACAAAAGAAACCCCAGTAACACGAGGGACACGGATATTAGTAATTACATGTTGAAAGTATCGTTTAACGTGAAAAGGAAAACTTTCCAAAAATCTCTTTAAGAGCCTATTTCATAAAGAATTTTAAGGAACCACGTATGCAAGACTTGAATCAATTACTGAAAACTCCACGTGCTGTGGATAATTAAAAACAAAAAGGAATTACTCACAGGAGATACTCAAATTAGTTTATTATAATTCTTCAAACAAGTAAAAAAAATCCCCTCCCTGTTTTGTTTGTTTTTTTGCTGCTCTTTATGTTGGGGTGTGGGGTGGGGTGGGGGGAAGCATCCTTTCTGGAGAAGGAGAAGCTGGCTCCAAAGAAGAGATGGTCTACCTCCTGTGTTTTCTGAAGATACACCCACAGCGAAGCTGGGTGCTTTGTCCTCTTTCTTGGGATTATTAGAGGCTATTCTAAGGCTCTCACAGGTTTTAAAGGATTCTTTTGCTAGTGAGGATTTTATCCATCTTATCTGTATTTCTTGGAAACAAGATCTTCCCTTAGTGAGGCAGATTTAACTCCTCAGTGTCCTTGGCCAAGAATGGTTTTCTCCAGAGGTAATCTTGGAAGGAAGAGGCTGCATATTGCTGCTCAAAACAGGGGAGCTAAGGACACATTTTTTAAAATTTCCTCAAGAAATGTAAGGAGGCACCAAAATAGGGACCGCTCAAGGATGGGGCTGCCCCCTAACGTGTTATGCAGCCAGTCAGAGTTTCCCCCACTCTGAGGAGGGGACCCTGATGGAGTGGCGCCCCTTCACCTGGCTGATCCCAGACAGATGCCGGTGGAGGTGGGGGTGGGCTTCCTTCCCGCCCCCGCCCCAGCCCCAGCCCTCTCCCTCTGGAAAGAGCTGCAGGCCAGGTTCCAAAGCCGCCTAGTGGGGGCTGACACAGTGACCACAGGGTCAACTCCTCGTCTCTCTCCTGGGGCACCGAAGGTCGCTGCCTAGGGGCCCTCCGGCGACAGGTCACTGTGGAAGTGTCTTCAAAGGAGAAATGCGCGCAGGCGGCCATCTTTGCTTCTCCACGGGCAACTCCAAATTGTGAGTTCAGAACCTTGTTTTTGGGACCCCAGGTGTCTTTGGAAAACTCCTGTCACCTGAGCTGCCCGGCACCGGGAGCGATCACTCCACCTCACCGCGCCCTGCGAGGTAGGCTGTCCGGTGCACATCCTACGGACGCCCGCGGCTTGGATGGCAGTGTGAATGTCGCTCGAGCCGGGGGCTGCGGGAGGAGGTTTTGCTTATGAGATGGAGCCACGGATTCCTAAAGGGGCACGGGGACCCCCAGGGCGTCAACGGGCGGCAGAGCGCCTCCTGTCCTCCGAGGACCAGGGAGGGGCGGCAGGTGGAAGCCTGAGGCAAAGTCGCCACCGCGGTCCCGGGGCCGCGCGTTCGCTTCTCCACCCTGGGTGGCACCGATCGCACGCAGGTGACCGCTACACGGAAGAGGTCAGTCGCTGGGTTAGGAAAAAAAAAGCCAAAAAAAAAGGCATGTAAAACACTCCCTTCTAAAAACAAAGGGCTGCAAATTTCTTTATTTCTCTTATCGAGGAACAAAAATACTCTTGCAATGGCTATTGAGTTTCCACGGGTACGAGGCAGATGCTAGCTAGCACACCCACTTCCAACAGTATGACTTGTTTCCTATCCGTCTACTACCTGAGTGGCGTCAGTGTAGGTTCAGGCACCATTAGGAACGTTTGACCAAACACGTACACAGCACGGACAGCGGCGTCGCCGGCCTTCCGGTGGCCCAGGGCACGTCCAAGAGACACGGACAGCACGGGAAAGAGATGCTCGACGGCCGGAGCC